CTGAGACCCTGAGTGTTGGTCCGGCCGGGGCACGAACCCTCGACCTCACGCACAACAGTCCAACGCTCTATCCATTCAGCTAACCGGGAAGCGGTTAGCTCAATGGATGGATACTTGAATATATGCCTTTTTTGTCTTTTTTCAAATTAGGTGCGTTGCAATTTATATTCAGTATTAATTATTCCTTTTTTTTTTTTAGTTCAGTACTCCGTCTACCTTTACAACTTTTTGAAAGAATGGCGCAAAAATCCTAAATGGTCCATGTCATGTTGCTTGGCGATGCTTCTTCCTCTTAACGATTTACAAGGCGAACTTAGAGGATTGGTGGGAAGGAACGTACTGAAACAGCAGCTTCAGAGTGGACGGATCGGGATGCCGTCCGTGACAGGAGCTGTCAAAGACAGTGGAGCTGTCGACTTCGCTCTTGAGGAAAGTGACGAAGAAAGCCAAGATAGTCGGCCTCAACAGGACAACAGGCTCAGTCCCCATATTTCAAGCAATTCCGAAAGTGTGTCAATGAATGATATCACTATTTCCGCTTTAATTGTTCATCATCCTCAAAAAGGCAATGAGACTCCATTGTAAAAAATATATATATAGGAAATTCGTATTAGTACAGAACTACTGGGTAGATCACTTCTATGGGTTGTGACTTTAAACATGTAAATTGTGTGTTTTGTGTTCGCCCTTCACTCCTTCTCAGAAGCATAAACCATTAACATTCTCTCTCCATAGCCTCTAGTCCTGTGCATCCTTCCAACTCTTGCCTATGGACTTGATCTCTGCTTCCAGCGTACATCTCCTGGTGTTCCGTGGACGAACTCTCTTTCGTCTCCCTTGAGGATTCCAGTTTAAAGCTTGCCTGGTGATGGTAAAAGATGACTGGTGCTTAGCCATGTCGTGGCGGGGAAGCTTGCGTGCCCTTGCGACCCCCAGAGCTGTACCGGCGGGAGCCTTGTGCTCCTGGTAGGTTCCACAATGCCGGATTGGTCTGCTGGAGAGGGGTCAAACAAAACAACACCCTGGCGCTCCAAGCTGGAGTTTCAGCGTGGGACCAGCATCCCCACCCTGTAAACTCTTTTATTTGCTGGCAAAACGTCAACTGATTTTGTAAAGCAACCAGTAATATCCACTTATGGCAGAGGTGCGGACAAGCGTCCTTAGAAGAAGTTATCCGGAAAACATGTATAGTAGTTTCTGAAAATTTTTAGAATTGCTGATTACGGCAATGCAGATCGTCTAACTTTCTAATGTCATTCCATGGAACTTTCTGGAACATTCGATTACGATATGTAATCATGATGTAATTCTACCGGAATACCATTTGTGATGAAGTCAATTTTATTTGACCTACGGATTGAAAATCTACCAGAATATGTGGCTACCATTTTAATTCCGTTTCGTTATTTTCATTTCCGGTTGTTTCGTTACGTAATATCACGTGCATTATACCCACGTGCTTTTAGATTTGAAGTCGCTTGTTACGTATGTTGTAGTCTTGGTATGGGTCGCCGTATTCCCAATCAGGGTAAAACAGTTCTTTAACGTGCTTAAGGCACGTTTTTTTTTTATCAAAATAAGCCGCAAAGATAACAGAATAGTTGTGTTGTAGGCTTCTGAAATGTTTCATAATACGTTGTGAATGTATAAAAGGACTCAGTCATCTGAGAGTAATAGTTCCGTCGACGGCAGAGAACGGCTTTGTGGGAAGCTATAGTGACAGAGAACCATTGTTGTATACTTGAAAGATTGTGTATTTCAAGTAGATTTGGAGACGACTATGATTTATAGTCTGTGGCAGGCTTAACTAGGTTTTTAGTGGATTATTACTCTATTGGTCAAAGGAGTCACTTCTTAGTAAGAATTATGCGTTGGGAAAAAAGGTTCGCCCTCAACAATTGGCTGGACTACAAATCGTATAACGTCTTTGAATAGGAATTTCATGGTACCTAAGATATTTTATCAGAAAGTTTCATAAAAATTGCGTACACGAGAAATAAAATAAAAATACTAAAAGTAAATTGATAAAAGAAATGACTTACTTCTACGGCGTTATCCAGCCAAATAATTTTCCATTTAAAGACTCGGGAGCGGTTTAGCAAACAGTTTAAAAGTTAAGCAAAGACAACATGCTTGCAAACCGAACGCGTGGTCAAAACTGTTGCACAAGTTAGAGTTGGTGAACAAACGTGCGCTCCGTTTTGTTTTTAGAGATAAGTCCTCGCCTTATGAGGAACTTTGTAAGCGTATCGGTCTCTCAAGTCTTCGTGAACAGCGATTAGCGAAAATTTTATCCACTGTCTTTAAGATATTAACCAGTGATGCAGGACCAAAAAGCTTACGTGATCTTATAACAATTAGGTGCTCCACTTATAACCTTAGGGGCACCACAATACTGGACCTCTCAAAAGTAAAATCAACAACCTTCGGGTTAAGATCATGGAGATATGCTACATCGAAACTATGGAACGCTTTACCGGACGAGTCTCGAAAGATACAAACACTTACCACTTTTAAAAATTACTTAAAAACATTAGATCTCACGGGACTCTAGCGCGGTGAGGATCTATCCTTAATTATATTTCCTGTTTTTAATGATTACATTTTATATTTTATATATTCAACTCGGTGACTACATTGTTAAATTCTTATATTTTAAAATTAGCTAGTTCGTAATTCTTAATATATTTAAATTTATATACCTTCACAAGGCTTTATAATTTCCTTTTCTCTTCTTATTTCGTGGCGTACCTGTAAACTAGCTTTTAGCTAAGCGTTCTGACCACGTTAAATCAATTGATTGATTGATTGATTGATTGATCAAATGTTAATTTTTTGGCCTAAACGGCTACGCCTTAAAATCAATCAACTCAATCCGCAATGTCGATCAATTTGTTAACTTGAACAGGAGCGACTATTGTCATTCAGTCACGTGATTATAACCTAGGACATGTTGTTTAATTAAGTAGTCTGTAGTATGTAATATTCTTTCTTCCAGTTAAATGATACCATCAGTTTCATGATATATTATCGTCGCTTCGTGTTTTTCGCTTAAGTAGACCTTGTTCTTATCGTTGTTCATCTTGCTGTTCTTTTTGGGAGGGGATAATTTTTAAATTTCAGTGGAAGGTGAAAGTCATAAAAAGAGTCGCAAAACTTTTGTGAGTCCTTGCTTTTACAAACCTAGCTGATCAACAGATTTGTTACGTAAAAGTTATGGGGTAAAATTAAGAGAACGTAAAAGTAACTAATTTTAATGCAACCACACCACTGATTCAGTTTATCACCACCTGTGATGAGTTTTTGGGAAGATTCTCATTTAGCGACATTTTTGAAGCTTTTTTCCTTCTCGGATGCTCTCTCTCTATATAGTCATGTTAATTCTTAGATGAGATACCTAACTTTTATTTTAGACTTGAATCTAAAAATTTCTCGAAAAGCGATGACGAAGTTGCCTACTGAAAAAGGAGAAATCAGTTACCAGTTAAGCAAATATCTTGGTAAACAGAGGGCTGAAACGTACTTTTAGCCCCCCCCCGAAGCATTAAAAATGAGCCTACTTGCTATTTATCACCGTCCGTTATTATTTTTGCATTACTGAAAGAAATTCCTACTGGATGCCGACTTGTCTCTTAGCTTGTTAGTAGACAATATAACTCACAATGAAAACAAAATAATCATGAGGATGATGATGATGACAAAGACAATGACAAGGATGATAGTAATGATGATACTAACAATAATTTATGGCAAGGTATCGACATGGAAAACTCTAAGAACGAACCTTTCGTTTCTTTGACTCAATAGATTGGCAGGTACACTACAGGTTTCAGTTGAAGAACAAATAATACGATAATAATTTCTGCCAAAAGTAAGCTCTCTATCATAGCATTTAATTTCTTTTTAAAAAAAACAAAAGGCTAAACTGACCAAATTCGTATCATGCAAGCATTCATGAACACAAGCACAGAATTGCTGAGTAACCTCGCGCTCCTTTTTGGACTGGGGACAAGTTCAAGGAAGAAAGTTTTTGCTTTTTGTGGCTGCTTGGATGAGTTAAACCATGAAGTTCTACGTTCACTTTGATGGTCCTCCGGAGTTTAGCATGGTTTTTAGATGGAATAAAAGCAAAAAAGGAAAGCTGAAGCAAGTGATGAGTACTTTTTTGGAGGCTTTCAAGGCTAACCATGCAGCCCTCTCCGAACTAAACTTCGGAAACTTGACACTGGTGAACACAAGGAAAATCATACTGTCCTTGGAGCAAGACGTCACGTCGGTCATAAAAGACGGCATGGATTTATTTGTCGTTTCAAAACAACTTCCTACGCCAAAGGAGGTACGAGGAATTGATTCGGACCCTCCAGCTTCTATTGCCTTTAGTATTTCGTCTGTTCAGCCAAAGGGAATCTTTGTCAAGAATGGCGAACCTACTAAGTCTTCGTCTGAAATGGAGGCGAACTTATCGAGAATCAGTGACAAAAATAAGTCGATTTTCTGCCTAAATGAACTACGGAAAAAGGGCACGTTGAGGAGTGCAGCTCGTATCTGTGCCCAAACACTGGCAGTGGAAGAAAACAATTCTTCAGCTCTGTCTTGCTTGGCTGAAATTTACCTCGAGGCTGGCCGTCCACAGATAGCTCTGGAGTACATTGAGCTAGCTGTTCAGGAAAACCCCACTGATCCCTCATTTTGCTTTGTCCTTGGAAATTGTTTGGCTGAGATGGGAAAACTTGAAGAGGCATCAAATGCTTATGTGAAATACATGAGTCACTTGGAGTCTTTTGGAGCTTCTCAACGTGAAATTCATGATGTTCAAGCAGCCATTGCCAAAGTCTATGCCAAGTCAGGGAACAATAAAATGGCTAAAGATCTATTTTCAGATGTTTTGAAAGAAGACTCCACCCATGCAGAGAGTTTGAAAGGATTCGCAATCCATAATGCAGGGACCAGTCAGGAGGACTTACAAGAGGCAATAGTTATCTTGATGTCACTACTGGTTCACCCTGATGGCCAACGTAAACATGATGTTAGAAAAGAACTTGCTAATCTGATGAGTTCCCCAGGGGGAATGAGTGTGTTTGAAGATCAGTTAAGTGAAGTCTGGTGTACATCAGCATCAGTGATGTTCATAGCTGACATTCTGCGTGAGTGGGGTGCCTTAAAGGAAACTCTGCAGCTCGTGCATCGTGCATATGTGCTATCACCGTATGATCCAGGTGTCTGTCTTTATCTTGTTCACACTTATGAAATCCTCAACAAGTACAATCAAGCATTTTTAGAAGCCCGCTCCTTTTTTATTAAAAATGGAGGGCTAAAAGTTGGGAGCATTACATGCTCACATTTTACACCAGTGCTGAAGCAGATCACAGGAGATATTTACCTGAACAACAACACAGTGAGCACTCCACCAGACTTTGAGAAGCAAGGAAACATTGGGAAAGCTCTTGACTCTGAGTTTCAACAGCTTGGACTGTTGTTCACTGTAGTAAAAATTTTCTTCGTAAAAGGTGCACTTAATCTAATCAAACCTTTCTTACCTGTCCTGGACAAACTTCACAAGGACAGAGGGTTACATCTTACGCTGCTACGCAATGAAGCTGCATTTTTCTCTTGCATCAGCCTCGTGATGGAAGTGCCATTCTCACCACTACCTCAAAACCCAGACTTTGTTTATTTTGCTTCTGATAGTCACTGTGTACCTCCTGCGTGGAGGATTATCAGTTACCAGAAGAAACCACATGTCATTTATCCATTGCTTGCCACTGGTGTGAAAATTTGGCACATCAGAAAAGAGAGCTCCTTTTACCCCAAGTTTGCTCTCTTGAATGCATTAAATGAAGTGCCAAATGGTTCAACTGTCATTTTCAATATTGGAGAAATTGATTGCAGAGAGGGTCTGTTGAAGGCTGTTGACAGTTGCAAGTATGACTCTGTGGAAGAAGCAATTGAGATGACTGTCAGCATTTACATTGATTTTATTAAAGAGCAGAGGGAACATGGTGGTTTTGTAACTTTTGTTCATCCCATACTTCCTGTGTTAAAGGAGACAAGAAGTGTGGTGCTTCAATTCAATGAGAAACTCAAAGACGCTGTGGAGAAATGTAGTGGACTGCAATGGCTAGAGCTCTTGGACAATTTACTTGTGAGGCAAACTTGTGAATTCAACAGTGAATATCATCTTGATGGAACTCATGTGCATCCAAAGTATGTTTCTCTTTTGGAGAAAGCTTTGAAAGACTCATGGAAAGATGTTGAATAATGCCATTATGCAGGATTGTAAATTTGATGAGTTTGATATATACAGTTTAAGCTAACATATATGCCAAAATTTTGATTTTTAGCGGCTTTAAGGAATTGTAACTTTTGTTCTCTTACATTGTGTGACAACCATGAGTTGCCGTCGCTTTACCCCTCAATTTGGTTACCCCATATCTTATCCTGAATCTGACATTATTATCATGGGTGCTCATGCAAGGGTAATTTTGGTATGTTGTCATCATATTTATTATCAAGTGCATTTATGTTCTCAGAGTTTGTCAGTAGTTTGCTTGCTGTTAGTTCACTCTTTCAGTACCTTAAGAAATCTGTATCAGAACTTCTGAATTGGGTCAAATTTTTTTTCAGCACAATTGGCAGTAAAACTGCAATCTGATTGGCCAATTTGCCTCTGTTGATAAGAGTACAGACAATGCTGCTCATGTCAACAGGACTCACACAATAGTCTTGCACTGAAAGAATAATTTTATTTGATGTTGATAGTGTAGTAAAAAACAAGTGGACAGTGGTTTTGGATGGTCTGTACTCTTATCCACAAGGATATTAATCATCACGAGGTGAAAATTAGTTGTGGACTCACTCTGCTGTGCGTCAAGAGTCCTCAACTTTTTTGACCACGGTGAGGACAGATATTGTTGTCAATAAGAATAAAGAGCAGACTAAACCACTGTTGTTTTGTTAAAATGGGGAAATCATCAGAAAAACATGTTGAATTATCAATGAGTTAACTTGTGAGTTTAGTTTTAAGTCAGAACTTTTGATGGAGAAGTATGCTCCTGAAATAACATGATTTCAATCTCCAATACTAAAATTTTTTCAAGAAATTGAGACATTCATCATGTTTTGAGTTTCCAAAGAATTAATTGCTTGAAAATGGCTTGCAAATTGTGGAAAGTTTGACCATGAACAAGCCGTGTTAAATCCTCCCCCTTCCTGGTAAACCCCCCTCCATCTAGCCAAAAAAGTGGCTCTCAAGGAACTGTCCTGGATGGCTATGTTGGCAAATTACTTGCAAATTGCTGAAAGTTTGACCATGAACATGCCATGGTAAACCCCCCTCCCCATGGTAAACCCCCCTCCCATGGTAAACCCCCTTCCCCATGGTAAACCCCCCTCCCCATGGTAAACCCCCCTCCATCTAGCCAAAAAAATGGCTATCAAGGAACTGTACTGGATGGCTGCTTAGGCTGGCATCCCATCCAGGGGGAGGAGGTACTCTTGTATCCACTGCCATGGAAACCAGGATGAGTTTCAGCAGAATGGGCCTCTTGGCTTGAATTCTAACTTTACCTTTACCTATTTTTCAACCTCTCATTTTACATTTTTCCCCATATTACCACTGATCACTTCTCACCATATAACTCCCCAAAATTGTTTTAGAGTTTCTTTGCTTATGTAAATGATAAAATGAAACCATTTTACACGAGTGGAACTTATTAAAGTAAGGTATTTGTGCTACGCGAACGGGGTTATAATTCAAAACGAAGCAAACTGGCCCAAGCGCGGGAAAATGCGAACAACCCGACGTAGCGGCCACGTGCCAATTTCACGCGCAGAATTTCAAAGCGCTGCTCGCAAACTAGGCCAAACGGGTTGAAACGTTCACAGAAATCTGTAAAAGGAAACAAAAGTAGGCTAAAGGAAACCTCCACACATTTAGAACTCTAAGCTTATTCATTTACTGATATCACGTTTTGAGTTTTTCCAGGAGAGGTATGTACTCTCAAAACACCATGACTTGCTGGCCTGTGTGGTTATTTGTAACTCGCGTCTGAGGGCCTGAAAGCAGTCAGTTATAACGTTCGCATTCGCACATACGTAGACGTTTGACCACTGGGTTCAATGACGCGAGTCGTGCCTGGTTTTAGTGCATCTGATTGGTTACGAAAGTGGGGTGAGTCAATTGACCAATGAGAGAACGCAGTTAAAAAAAACATTGAAATTCAGGCACCTAATAGATTTAATCCCTGGTTTATTGTTGGATATTAGTAAATAGTCGTGGGAACCGCACTGAAGCGGAAACGTTTAAACACGAAATTGCTCACGGTCTCTTGGGTGAAAGTGATGACGAGTTAACCTATGAACAAAGATTATAAAAATTAAGTCCATTTGCTTTGTTTGTTGTTTTTGTCGTAGAAGTCTACAATCAAAATATATAAATGTGATTACTTTTAAGTTCGACGCTGCATATCGCGGGGAAAAATTTGAGTCGCGTGCTTATCAAACTTGCAAATTGAACCCTACGGTTACACCTCAGCAATTTTCTCTTAAAAAAAAAAAAAAGAAGAAGAAGAAGAATTTGAAAAAAAAAAAAAAAAGAATAAGCGAAGCACGTATCAGTTTTACATATTGTACTAAAATGTACAATATTGTTTGACTTCCGCTGGCACAATTTGTTTGTATTATCTTAGCAAAGAAAACCCTCAAACACTGCCTGACAAATGCGCAGAAGCACAAAGCCGAAAAAACCCGTACGTGCAATAGAGCGGATCATTTCTTTTGTTTCAAGTACAATAGCGTGCTGCTTCATGAAACTTTTGGAGTACAGAGCAAATATAAATAAACTGGTTGTGGCGTGAGAACTGCTTTACAAGGCTTCGTCGACCTAAGGTAAGCCAGTGTTATCATCAGCGCTGTAGTTTTATCGCCAGAAACAGAGCAAGAAAAGTCTTAAATTCATGGACTGCATTGAAATTGTTGGAGGAGCTCAGTGGGAAGTTAGACTAGTTCACTTCAACGCAAGTAAGGTTCCTACATAATTTTAGTTTTGATCGATGCGATTTAACGTGATATGCAGCGATACCATCATGACATTTACCCTACACATGTGTGTAACATGAGCAACATATGCCATTTTATTTGTACGGACCATTACGCTTTCATTGTACTTCGGTGCTTTACGTCAGAACCGCATCTTACAACTTCACTCTCGTGAAAATGAAGATGAGGGCATCATTTCTACGTGACGAGTCTAAAACCGTGCGATGCAAGAAGACGAAGTATGATATCACCTAATTGGATCATTCTAGGATCGTGGGATCAGAAAGAGATTACATAAATCTGCATTTAATCTGATAGGTCCTGTTAGTTCAGTTAGCAGAGTCGTGGGAAAATGCGATGGAAAAAACAAACTGAATTAGTCATTAAAGCCAATTAAGTGCGCATCTTAACCTCCATTTCCCCCTCTCCCTGCAAAGTTCAAGCGCATTACGAGCTGAGTTGATTTTGGTGATAGCCTTCGATTTTTCAGCCAAGAGAATCTGTATGTTTGGACAATTTGTGAGATTTGAACAATTCGTCGTAAAATACGAATACGACTAAGGCGCATATCTCTCTGACATGCCCTTGTAACAGAATGAATTGGCTTAAACATCGTCAGTGATAGAGATCATAGATCAAATTGCCGGGCCCGTAAATGGCTAACAATCTTTTCCTTAATTTTCATCAGTATGGCTTTACTAGCACTTAAATAAGAAAACATACTCAGACAAGTTCTATTTTAAGCCATCTAGGCTCTTCTGTATGTAGCTTTGAGAGCTTTGGCAAACATTCGCTTTAGTTTTTGGTATTTGATGGCAGATTTGACTTATTTTGAAAGCCGAGGATTTTGCGGTCCTCATAAGAAGCTGCTGTAAACCCCAGTTCAAATTCCAACAGTTTCGCGTTACGTATGACTGTTCAGTTTACCGCCAAAAGTATAAAAAAAGATGAAGGCTGATCCAAATAACAAAATCTTTGCCTGAAAAGCCCAGTGAAATTTGTTTCGGCCATTTTACGGCCAACAGTTTAGTCAAAATGACACAAAAGACACATTTTAGAAAGGATAAGTTATTACGGTTAACAATTTGGCGACTAATTAAAGGTTTCCAATTTTTACGCCTAAATATTTTGGCCGTTTTATCGGTTAACATTTAATGCCATTGACACCCTCTTTCAAAGGAAGGAATTTGACACTGTTAAACTTCAGTTGCAAACAATTCAGCCTACCATTTATCTCCCATGCAACTGAAGTCCTTGATTGCCTGGGGTTTTAGTATGCAATGAAAATGGACTTTATATACGCAGTTGTCGAGTTATAGCAGTTATATTTATCGCTAAACTTGCTGTTTGTGATGAAGAAACTGATTAAAGCTAGCCAAAATTGAAAGGTTTGAAGCCGTTTACTCGGCGGAAATCATATATGAAAGATGGAGGCTCTGAGGAATTCAAGGCCAAAAAATAAAAAAAAAAGGAAAACCCGCCTCATATGAGCCTCCAATTCCAAGCTAAGTACTCATGGAACTTGCCGAGTCCAGGCGTCATCCAATTTAGCTGAGAATGATTTGTAATAGGCCATTTTCTAAGCAGAGGAACGCAGTTAAAGCTCTTTTTCTCCGCGTGAGTCTGCAAGAGTTCGTGACATGCGTAAAAGTTTTGGAACCTTGACAGGTGACCCTGAATTAAGGGTGATTATGTACTAAAGGTTCGCTTAACACATCGTGAATGTTCTCTCATGTTGATCAATATTTTTTTCAGGGTGAAATTTTGAATAGAAGCGCCATGGCTTTTTACGTCAGTGAATTGGAATACTTAACAATTAGAAAACGACTTGTCGACACAGTCGCCGACTGAATGGCGGAAAGAAAATCCTCAGCCACGAAACGCAAACTGAACAAGCATGTTTCGCGTAAGTTACACTCTTTGCATCTCTATGGTAGCAAATGTTTGAATAATGAAGGTTGAGTTTCCCGTGCTAAGTGGGTCTCAGTCAGCAGTGGAGGACGAGCGAATGAGCGGGTAAAAGAAATCGTTAGGTTTAATGGAGTAGCTAACATCCCTTTCCAAAGCCCCCTTTACCCCCCCCAGAACTCCCCCTCTCTCTCCCCTCCTTGTTTCTATCGCTCGATGCCCTTTTTTCCGTATTCACAGGCTTACTGCCTCTTATAGGCTAGGAAATAAGGCTTAGGTTTAATGGAG